GACCCCTGCCAGCACTGAGATGCTTAAACATTCACTGACTTGGCTTTCCTCCTGCAGTCGGCGTCATTGTGTGTTTTGTGAGATGGAGAAAGACTTTGTGTATTGGTGTCAGGCATATGGGCTAATGTTGGACTTGTGAGCTTGGGCAGCACTGGGTTGGGATGTTTTCTTGATGTGCACATATAAAACTCTCTGTTATACATGAGTTTCTGTGGATTTGTCTCTCTGAAGTACCCAGACTAACACACACATGCTTGCAGCTAAGTCTTTCTCTGGCATTTTACAGGCCTCTCAGCCACATGGCCCATTGGCCTCTAGCTGTTTGCACAATGTTACAAACTCATTTAGGCCTGCCAACACATACATAAAGGTCACCTTACGTCACCATAATCCTCGGTTTGAAGATTGACAGCTCTAATTCTGTAAACTAGCAAACCTATCCTGCCCCTGGCCTCCATCTCAAAACTTGCTCAATTAAGTTTTTAAAAGTACCCCACTCCATAAGCCAGTCTCCTGCCTGAAGGCACTCGGTGTCACTTATTTCGGAGACTGGGAAGACCACCACTCTGTCTCATGTTCTGGCTCCTGGTTCTGCAGTTGCTGCTCCTCTGTTATTACTCTGGTGTCACAGCTGCTTATATGATGGAAGAGATTCCATGAGCATGAACCTCAGGGTCCAAAGAATGTTCTCCACGACTGGCTCTTTCCTCTAGCTGGTAGCAAGATCTATCCCCTTTTTGCCTTCTGAGTTGGCCTGAACTCACAATGGCAATCACAGTCAATCCTCTTAACAGTCACTTAGAACCGAGTCCTATCAATATTTTCCCCTACCTTCTCTTGCCTAGGAGCCCTGGCACAGAGGTTACATGTTGGGCTACTGACTGCAAGGTCAGCAGGGCAAAATCACCAGGCTCTCCTGTGAAGAGTTACAGTCTCAGAAACGCACAGGGGCTTAGTTCTACCCTGGCTTACAGGGTCACTTTGAGTTAGCATCGATTTGATGGTGCTGAGTTTGGTTCTTAAAAATCTCTTACCTGGTCCCATCAGGTAAACGTCATTTGGTGGGAGTTACAAAGAGGCAGCACATATCAAGAACTGTGCTATTGAGAGAATATGTATGCACTAATGACAATGGTGAAAAAAGGGGGCTCCAAGAATCGATTTAATACCAATTGAAATGTTTGAAGAAACTTGAAACCCTGGAAACACTCGAATATGCCAGGAAATTTAGAAGACCTGGACAAGCAAATGGAAGAGATCAGTATGTCAATATGTGTACCCATTCCATAGAAAGGTGGCCTCACAGAATATGGAAATTATTAAACTATATCATGAAGATCACTTGGAAGTATAATTTTATGGAAGATCATGTTTTTAAATTTGTAGGAGTGCATGGACAGTGAGCTCCAGAAATTCAAGCTGAATTCAGAAGAGGACTGTATGGCACATGATTGCTGATTTTCACGGACAACAGAGGATACCAGAAAGATGTTTTCTTGTGTTTTATTGACTATGCAAATGTATTTAATTATGTGAAAATATGGATAACACTACGAAGAATGGGAATTCCCGAACCTTTGGTCAATCTTCTTTGGAATCTACACATACTTAGAGACAGACATTTGAACAAAACACTGGGTACTCTATGGTTTAAAATCAGAAAAGGTATGAGTCAGGGTTGTATCCTTTCATCATACTTACTCACTCTGTATGCTGAGTAGATAATTTGGAAAACTGAAATAAAAAAAGAATGCAGAATCAAAATTAGAGGAAAGCTCCTTAACAGCCTATGCTGTGCAGATGGTACACTTTTCCTTTCTGGAAGTGAGGACAACTTGCGGCACTTACTGAAGCAGATCGAAGACTTCAGCTCAGCAGGGATTGCTTCTCAATGTGAAGAAAACAAAAACCCTCACCACTCGAACAATTGAGCACATGTGACAATTGCAGAAAAGATGGGAATTGTCAAGGATCTCATCTTATTTGAATCCATAATCAACACTCTGACAATTGGACAAAAGATGGGAATTGTCAAGGATTTCATCTTACTTGAATCTATAATCAGCACTCATGTAAACAGCTGCCAGCTAAGAAGACAAATATGAATTGATCTGTGAAAATCTCCTTAAAGATTTCTCTAAAATGTCAAAGTACAAAGACGTTGTTTTGAGGATTAAGGTATGAGGACCCAAGGCAAGGTCATGCCAACTGTCTCATGTGCATGTGAACGCGGGAAGCAGAATGGATGCATTTGAATAATGACATTCTCAAAGAATATTGAATATGCCATGGACTGCTAGAATAGCAAATCTGTTTTAACGTTTTTTAGAACAATTATCCGTTTTGTAGAAGCAAAGGCAGTGAGATCTAATGTCACCTACTTTGGGACATGTTATCAGGAGGGACCAGAATCATGGAAAGGACATCATGCTTGGTAAAGTGAAGGGTCATTAAAAAGGATGAAGACCCTAACTGTGATGGATGGATGCAGAGCCTGGAACAACGGTCTCTCACATAGCCATTGTGAGGGTGATGCAGGGCCAAGACCACCAGTACTTCATTCTGTGGCACATTAGGCTGCTACGAGCCACACAACGGCAACACAATGGCACCTGAATCCACTACCACTGAACTAGCAGAACATTTAGCACATTCATAAGTTCCTTCATCTGTTGCCATTACTGACCTGTAGAGGGACATTGTCCATTTCTTCATCATCAGCTTGCATAAAAGTTTAGGAAGTTCCATAATCTCTGGATATAAAAAGAAAAAGGAATGTCTTGTTATATTTGCTAAGAACACAAATCAATAATTCTTTTGAAGTAAGATAATAGAAAACAACGCTGTATAAGCACTGGAGAGCTCTGTATGGTAGTTAAAATGCCAAACCTATACTTCTCCCACCTCCATTTGTCTGCTCTCCACTGGAAACCTCCTGTGGGGAGCAGAGGGTGGCCACATACTTTAGGGTTGACTTCTCGTGCTCGCTTTCATCTCCTAACTCTCTTTTACTCAGGAAGCTGCCTCTGACTTTTGTGGATTGAAGAGAAAGAGGAGAGAGAAAGAGCACAACCACTTCTTCTGCCCTTGGCATCTCTGTCGGCTGACGATGGCTGTGGGTGATTGTTTTAGTCTGGGTACTTTAGAGAAACAAATCTGAGAGAGTTTTATATAAAGGTTAAGTGCACATCAAGAAGACATCCCAACCCAGAGCTGCCCAAGCCCACAAGTCCAACATTAACCCATATGTCCGACACTAATCCACAAAGTCCTCCTCCCACTCACAAAACACACACAGTGATGCCGACTGCAGGAGGAAAGCTGAGTCGGTGAATGTGTAAGCATCTCAGTGCTGCAGGGGTCTCCACAGGGCTGCTACAGCGTTGGGATAGGTCCATGCGGCTTCTCCTTGGGGGTGTCTTGCAGGAAGTGAGCCTTGTCAGCTGAAGCAGGGAACTGGCTAAGGCAGCTGCACCCTGGTCCAAGCATCACAAAGCAAGAGATCCAAGAACTCTAAAGGTGAGGCTCACCAAGCCATTTGTCTCTCCACCCTTCAATTAACCCCACGTGCGTTTATCAGCCAGGTTGGTACAATAAACTAACTACCTCAGTGATGTTTCCATCCACATTGCTCATGTGGATCTCTTTGCAGACTATTGCGAGCTGGATGATGCCACTGTTGAGACCACGTAGACACACAGGACCTAGGGCACCGAACTTCGTTTAGTACTCTGCTGTCACAATCTAGAAAGTTTAAATGATGTTTGAACAAGCAACCTGCATTTTCCTTTTGGGCTGAGTCACACGAATTATGTAGCTAGTCACGACAGAAGCTCTCTAGTGCCTCTCCTTCAGCTGGAAATTTATTTTCTCAACTGAAGATATTTTCTCAGGAATGAGTCATAACTCTATTATTGTGTTCTGAACACCAGGAAACCTATCTCAACTCCCCTTGGGTGGCTTGAATTCCGTCTCACTGGGCTCGAGTGAGGGAGAGCATCACATAACATACTTTATAACTCTCAAAAAATCATTTCTTCTTCTAACTGCTTGACTTCTTCAACTTCAATATTTTTATACCCTAAAAGTCGATAAGTTAGCGAGATTCAAAAATTCAATCATTGCCAATTCCCATGCATGCTCAGGAGTCCTTTAATGTTCAAACAGTCAAGTAGTTGCCAGAAAATTAAAAGGTTGTTGGTTTGAGTCCCTTCCAAAGTCTAGTTGTGAAAAAGGCCTAGAATGTACTTTGAAGATATTAGCCATTGAAAACCCTCTGGAACACAGCTACCCTGTGACATACATGGAGTTGTGATGGGTTGGCATCAACTCCACAGTTCATGCATAGGGGTTTCAGCCTCACTTTGGGAATTGTAAATTCTTGCTACCTATTGTCTTGTTCTCAGCTTTATGATGCCTATTAAGAGATGGAAATATCTTAGTTCAATATTCAGTCATATAATGGCAAAAATTTTTTTTTTGAAATTCAATTGTATTCATTTTTTCTTATACAGAATCAGGAAAGTAAAACCCAGTACCAAACCCTTGGGAAAACGGCTTGATCTGATTGATTTGGCAGGGTACTTTCTGGTATGCATAGCATTCTCAATGAAAAAATATATGCATGTCTGTCATATTACAAAATGCAGAAGTAACATTTTTAAAAAGTTTAGAAGACTAGCATATAAATGATGTAGTGTGTTAGGGAAATGGCCCCTGTCAATCACCCAGTTTTCCAATTAAATTAATCAACCATTGCCATTCCCCAACCCCCAAAAGTTACACTTTCAGAAGTTACTTTTTTATTACATCAGGAGAACACAGATGTAAGTAGAATTCCTGTCTCACTTCAGATCCACCTTCTTCTGCAGAGAACCCTTCTCTTAAGCTGTGGTCAACAGCACCCTGACCAGCCCACTAACATCCTCACTGTTCCCCGTGCTGCCGCTCGATGGCGGAAGGAGTGAAGGAAATGGTTCCTACATCCTAAACACTATGGCGGAACACCTTCTAATGGTCACTGTGATTGAACAGACCTACAGATGGGTTTTGACAATGTATTCACTTTGAGATACTCTATCATGGGAGGGGGGAACCCATCAAAGACTTGTGAAATTCTTCTTCAATTTCACTTCCTAAAATACCTTTTCCATGGATAACTTATGGGGTGAAAAGATATTCATTGATTCACTTAGGATGAAAAAGACTGGACACCCTGGCAGTTGCTTCATCGTAAGAAATGTAGCATCCGTATATGATGAATTTTTCAGGAAATTTTATTTACACTGATAGAAAGCATCCTATGTAAAAGTTGCCCCTCCTTTAGGAACTCTAGTTTTAGTGTTTTCCGATAATGGCCATACTTTGTGGCCTGAACCTACACACACATACACAAATTTAACTATTAGTTATTTATCTATTAGTTATCTATTAGTCAACATATAGTCAGGAGCTATACTTTATTTTGGAAGAGGATTTATGATGCTCAATAAAATTTTATCTTGAAGTTGAAATACTTGAGAAACATATTGAAGAATCCCAACTTTCTTAAGATACCAATACCTTTATCAGTCAGAGACATAGATTTCTTTCAAGTATTTTGAGCATTTCTCTTTTGCAGTAAGCTCTTGGTATGGAAATAAATAAGACAAGCCCACAGGGTTGGGAGCTGACAGATTTAAAAAAAATGGGAAACATACATCAACAAATTTCGATGTAACATGAAAGAAAATAAAGATGTATAAGTGCTTTGGGATTTAAAATAAGAGAGCAGGTGATGCTCTAGGGGAAAATGACAATCTCACTGAGTTATCGTTTCATCTAGATCTTGAAACGCTATGATGATGGCAGATGAAATATGGAGAATCATTTGAAGCTCATATGGAGACAGCGGTCAGTTTTGGTTTGTTGCAATGAGCCAGGTGATAGGATGAGGGCCCGAATTAAAGCTGCAGCGAAGATAAGCAGCATATTAACTGGTAACAAAAGACTAGGTGATGACTGATTAGAGGTGAAAGAGTTGAGAAATAATTCTAGGAAGAATCAATGCCCCCAATTCCTGTTGAATGGAATACAAGTAATATTATAAATGATCTTTTCTGTAATAAATGTTAGCTCATTTGGATTCAAGTATTGAACAGTAGAAATGTAATTTGAAAACTAGGTATTTATTTTACATCATGTTTCATCCTCAAATTTCACTGATTACAGTTTGAGGAATTGCATCTATTTCAATAAAATCTGGAGAGAAAAATAATATTAGATTTGAAACTACTGTGTACAGTAGTTTAATTCAAATTAATAATGTTTAATCATACTGTGTGAGTTTCTGATAGGAGTCTTAATAAAACTACTTTGGACAATTTATTGGCAGTTTCCAGTAAAGGAAAACATGCTTTTATCCCATTGCAACAGGGGAGTACCAGAAAGTCGATATTATGGTGGCCGTTTTCCAGACTATCTGTTACAGATGATAATAGAAGTTAAAAAAGGAGGTACACAACTAGTGGTCAAATGTAGATTTGGAAGAGGCATAAGGATACTATGCTGATGAACTTGTACATGAGCAGGGTTTTAAAAGGCATAGGCATATGTAAAAAGGCACATTATATAATATTCATCTTACTATAAGTAAGCTATATCTTAAATAAAACTTCTTATAGACCATTCTGTACTAGCAGTTATTATAAAGATGGATTCATATGAACAATTATAATTGTGACTTTGAATCATAATATACTGTTATCAAAAGAAAGATGATAAATAGACATAATTGTTAGGAAGGTAGGAAATAAGATCGATGTTGTGACCTAAACAGTTTTCAAATTTCATCTGGATTAGCCAGGTGCCTCAGATATCAAATGTTGTTATTGTTAGGGGACATCAAATCAGTTCTGACTCCCAACGACCCTATGTACAACAGAACAGAACACTGCCCGGACCGGCACCATCCTCGCCAGTGTTACATTGAAGCCCCTTGTTGTAGCCACTGTGTCAGTCTTCTCCAGGATCTTCCTCCTTTTTGGTAACCTTTTCCAGTACCAAGTATGATGTCCTTTTCCAAGGAATGGTCGCCTTGGTAGTGTAGCCAAAACACTTGAGATGAAGTCTCACCGTTCCTGCTTCTGAGAAGCATTCTGGGTCTACCTATTTCAAAACCGATTTGTTTTCTTGGCAGTTCCTAATTAAAATATACCAATGCTTTCTTTATTCATCATCTTGCTTTATTGTGCATATAAGGTGATTGAAAATAACTTGGCTTGATTCATGCACACCACCTAAGTCCTCAAAATTATATCTTTGATATTCAATATTCTAAATAGATCTTGTGCAGCATATTTGCCCATTTGTAATACAACATTTGATTTCATCACTGCGTCTTCTAGAAGCACTGGTTGTGGATCCAATTCAAATGAAATCACTGACAATTTCAAACTTCTCTGCTTATCGCGATGTTATCTATTGGTCAAGTTGTGAAGATCTACATGATCCATTCTGAATATACTGATCTTCGTAAGTGTTTCAAATTGTTTTGTTCTGGCAAGCAAGTTTGTCTCATCTGCATACCACAGATTGTTAATGAGGTTTTCTCCAACCATGAAGCTGTAATCTTCTTCACATGGTCTAGCTTTTCCAGATTATTTGTGCAACATACAGATTGAATAAACAGCTTTGAATTTGAATGTATATATTTTTAGAAGTCTTCTCAAGTGGTTGTCCTGGGCAGCTAAGTGGGAGAGACCCTGGTCTAGGA